GCTGGGCTTGTTGGGCTTGGAGTGCAATATCTGCTGCGAATGACTGGTTTTGTATGTCGAGTGTTGTTCGGTCGGTTCGCACTGCTGGAAGAACGGCGTCCAGTATTCTGTCCCCGATTGTAGTGGTTATTATTATGGCGACCTCCTCTGCCTCCCCCTCTACCTCCTCGTGAGGAAACAGCAGGAGTCGGCGCAAGTATAGGCCGTGGTTGAGGTGGCGGTCTTTCCCAATTGCGTTCTTCCTCCGGCGGATACTCATACTGCTCACAGCACTCGTCTAATTTTCCCTCAGACACTGCAGTAAACGCTCGCCGTAATTCCATATGTAATCCGCGAAATGAGGTATCGTCTGCAGTGTTACCAAGATTCCGCGATGTATTAAATGGCTCCTCAACGCAAAGTCGATTATTTTGGAGCAGATGCCAGCCTTTCCCTTCCTTTGATATCAAAGTACCCATCCGTACTGACATGACCTTAGTTTCATAGTCAACTTCATGGCCGTAGTACCGAAAAAACTGGAACAGAAGTTCGCCCAACGACGACTTATTCTCCTGCCCGAACCCAGTCAGCTTTTCCAGGTCATCATCAAACGATGAACCGGGGTCATCTGCTTTTTTTGGTTGCTTGGCACGTCTTTCTTGTAAACTAGGCAAGATGGGAGGATTTCTTGTTTGGAGGAAGTTGATTATAAGGCAAATCCACGTATAGGAACTTAGAGTACCGCCAAGGGCTGAAAAAATAATAAGTAAGCCAAGGTTCATCAATACCTGGAATTAAAAACCAAGAAAGACTGACCGGCATCATTCAGAATTCGTCTCTTAGTCCAGTACTTAACAATCATTGCTAGCTGGCGAACTCGTTCATCGATCTCAACGTATGTTCTGATCATTCGTGTATTCTCGAGAGCAAGGGTATTATTGACATTCATATCGCAGGCCAACCGCAATTCGGGGTCCCAAATTTTCACAATCGGAACTCGTGCATGGGAAACGCAAACAACTCGCTCCATGCCACCTAGAGAGAAAATCAGCTGAAGTACGACTAGGAAAATCATCTTTGGACTAGTTCATACTTTTTGCAAGGAAGTCAGCCAGTATGCAAACCTTCTCTAGCTCTTTGTAGGTCGTAGTAATGCAAATGTCAACTAAGATAGTAGAACATTAGCCCACTGCAATAATTATATCCGTCCTCGCAAATTCTTACCATCAGAATCGCTTGAACAAAGTTTGTTCCCGGAAGACCCAAACACATGAACTCGAATGTTGTTCCCTGGCCATTGCTTGTTTAATAAATTCTCTAACTTGTCCACGAACTTCAGCCGTCGAGATTCACTCTCCTCTGACGGCAAAAGCCTATCATAAAGTTCTCTCATATCTCCACTAAGCTTCTTTTCGTCAGCGGAATCCAGTTGGTCCTTCAATGGACCCAATTCCTTGGGTAAGAGTTCGCTCCCAGCGAATACGGAATCCGCCGGCGGAAATGAGCCATTCCAGTTTCGTATTTACAGCCTCCATAGGGTCGTCGTAGTGATGGGAGTAGGTGGGTGGATTCTGAGTGAGTCGATCGTGGAGAGCTGCTCCTGCGGTTCGGTGACGGAGATCTCGATACGAACTGGAGACCACGAGGGTGTTGATAAGGAGTAGAGGGTAATGAGCTCGAGTGTTGTGAAGCAAATGCAGGCCTGGGAGGAATGTGTCGCGAAAGGTCGGCGGGGATGGCCCACGCCATTTCGGAGGACGTATTCGGCGCTATCGGTGAGAGGTCATCTGTGATCTGAGATAATACGGCATTCCCATGGGTACGTGATTTCATAAGGGGGTCGCTATCAACCAAGCTACTCACTCCTCCAAGTACTGTACCAAGGAGCCTCAAACGTCAAGGAATTTGGGACCCGTAGAGGAGATTGCGATCGGTCCCAGCACTGGCTCTTAGAAAGCAGTATTGCAGACACCAGGCGGCCCGCAGAAGTAATCGTGAGGATAGAAGTTTTGTGGGAGAGTTCGAAACGAAGGAGATAATTCGCCACAGTCGATTAAAAAAAAAAAAAAAAATTGGGCTCCGAAGAGCAGATAGATAGATATCGTTGGAATGGGTAAGGGGAATGTTCTAAGATGGTGGGGGACAGCGAGGAGAGATTGTTTAACACGTCCAGGTCGCGAGAAAGTCTGACAACCAGTGTCGACCGTGATCCTAGATTCAAAAGATCAAATAAATGCCCCAGTCAATAGACGCTAAAGTAGACTCGTAGCCCCTAATTGACGTTTGCGGGGAGGGGAGTCCCGTCAGATATATAGAGTGGTAGTGAAAGCACAACCAAACCCTTCTGCCAATATATCTAGTTGTCGCTGCAAACATTCACAGGCTCTTGCCCGTTAAGAACCTGAGTGTGGAATGGAGGTTCCTCCGCTACCGTACGAGTACGACAACCAGACGGACTCGAAGTGCTGTCAATCGGCAGCCAAGACGGGATAGGAGACGTGCAGTGTGGATCACGAACAAGAATATGCGGAAGATCGATGGCAAAAGGAGAGATATAGGATGAAACTGGCGTTTGATGGTGAAAGGGAGGCCGGAGGGAAGGAAAGGAGTATGGAATGGCGGCTTCGAAGGAGCACGATGGAGGTTGAGATGGAGCATGGAGGCTGATTGATCAAATTGATCAATGTTTATTACAGCCTTGTATCAGCGATTCAGCGGTATTGCTGGTATGGGGTGCCGCGCTCTGGAAGGGGCTTCAGAGCCAGCCCGAGCCGCCCGTGAAAAGTGTGACGAGGGAGACCGAAAGATACCAGTTCCCGCTAAACTTCTCTGAGCCATCGGGCACAATCCTGCCTGTAATTTGGCACCGATGGTACCTCTGGTAACTATGAAAGTGTGGTATTACATGATATGGTACTGTATGGCTGCGTTAAGGAGGATACCTCCACTACCTCGCAAATTCAACGCAATTCAAAGTACCCTTCGTACTTCTCGGTATTGATCTGCTTTCAAGTTTCGAAACCTTACGACATGGTCATCTCTCGACGTTGTAAAGCCCCAAAATGGACAGATTAGAAGCAAAGAGCTGGCTCTGGCAACTTTGATGTGAATAACATAGTTAACTCACTACCAACTGTTCACCTTGCCACCCTTGAAGTGAGTATGGCGAGCTGCTGCCCCATAACTAGAAGATGGGCTGCATGCCCAGCACATCACCCTCAATACTAGCTACATGAACTGCGTATATAACGAACTATCGATAAGCTCCTCGGTGGCATGTACAGGTACAGTACCACGATTATAGTTGTTCTCCTTGTCCACTGTTGCATTACGCAGTAATTCACAGTGGACCTCAATCTCCATTCTGATTTCTTCGTCCCGGAAAAAGAATCTGCTTGCTGCTTCGAGCTTCCTCGCCCTTTCTGTGTTCCTGGATGCTGTTTCTTTCCTGAATGTGCAGCGTTTATACTGCATTGTTCACATTCTGATGCCCTCATGGCTTTCCAATGGGCATCGTCAAATTATATCTAGCGCCCCCTTCCCCACGCCATCTCCTTTTTACTCTTTTGCTTTTTGCTCGCCAGACATTGACCAAATATACAGACATGGCGCTGTCACATGTGAGCAATCAATCACCAGCAAGGGCTTTCACCGTATACTCAGGCCCAGTTGAAATCCTGGACTACAAAATATACGTCAAGCACTGACGGCTAATTATCCACTCCTGAGATGGGGATATATTAGCACCTCCATTCGTTCATATAAACTCCTACGAGCAATGGGCCTCCCGAATGTTAAACCCTATTTGCCGATGCGGCGATGCCCCTGTTGTTCAACAGTACGCCAGCCATGTATTCGTTCGTTTGACCTCCCTGGATCTAGCCAGCGCCCTGGATCATAATGGCTATATTTCTTGAATTCAAATGTTGGCACAGGCCATTTAAAATCGGAGAGACGCCAGTAATTTGGTAGCTAGAGCTATGGCCATTGAAACCCTAATCAATGAATATCCTGGCTGTTTTCAGCCTTCTCATAAACGCTGGGGTTGCCTCGATGTGGTCTGTGAGCCCCGACCAAAAAACCCTAATACGGCATATAACCTTCAAGCTGAACGTTTATCTCCAAACCTATCAAGACAGAGGCAAGAACACGATAGCCATTCATTAAATATCACCCAAGTCCGGCAGCGTGCCCCAAGACTACAGAGTATTCCTCCAAACATTCCATTTCCTCGTTTTCCAAACGCTCAACGGACCGCTAGTAACGCCATGACAATGCGTCCTAACCTCGACCTGCCTGTTTAACAGGATGTGTTTCAGATGCCATTCAGCCCTTGTTGCCTGCTCTGGTGTGTTGTACGACTGGTATTTACTCCCGCAAAAAGAAAAAAATACTAAAACTAAAATCGAATAAAGCATAAATAAAAGGTAGAATTATCCTGAAGAGAAACTGTCATTGCCTTTTACGTCGAAGGCAACAATGAGGACGAGCTAAATTAGTGCCACAACGCCCCACAGTGCCAGGAGATCGGGTTCAAAAGCTTTTCCAGAAAATATGGGGGGAAACAGGAAACAGAAACAAAGAAAAGCATGGACCGGAAAATAAAGGATTAAATGATGTAAGGTACCCCTATACTTAACTAACTGTAACTAATAACTGCGATTTAAGGTTCCATCTTAGTTGTTTGTTTTCGGAAATCTTTTATTTCAACATATGAACCTTTTTTCTTGTTGTCTAGACCAGCAAAGTACAGAGAGTTCCTAGGGAACTAACCAGTTATTCAAATAAGGATAGCCTTACGAGCCGAATGGATGGGACATCAAGTTCTTGAGAATGCTTGCAAGGAACTGTTGCTTTACTCCGCGGGCCAGGAAGTCGTCGACCCACTCAGCAAAGCGTCAGGTAATTTTTTGCTTTGGTTCGTTAGAATTTCTCTCCTGACTGTGATGGCTGGTTCTCATGCTGGCCCATGTCGATGATCTTACCAACTCCCAGGGTCCTGGTACTCTTGTAGAAAAACTGATCGAAGAATTATATGTCTCAAGATGTTGGAATAGAATTGACTGTATTGGGACGTTAATCTTACCACACAATCTCAGCAGATGTAAAGAGTTATTTTTAAGACATGATCCGTCGTTTCCCCTGAGGTTACTTAAAACAAAAGGGTTGAATAAGACATGGCTGATATGAGATGAAAATAAACAGCCTGCACAGATGGTGACAAAAACTGCCTTCGGGTTTGAATTTGTAGGTGCAGAGACGCTTTTCAGCCCTCCATCGCGAATTACTTGCAACGAGAAAAGATATGATTTACCTTCCGAGTCACGCACAGCAAGGCGTGGCCCGAGTGCTTCTTAGGACTATTGTAATGCTCTCATGAGAGGATGCTTTGGCTAGGTATACGGATCTTCAAGGATTACTCAACAGCAATGGTAAGGAATTCAACGTGGAAGAGGCCCAGCTTCTCTGGGTGTAGCCATTGGGGAAATGGAAGTTCATAGTCAATAGTGATCATTTGATGCCACTAGCGATGCCATGGAAGAGTATGTAGAAATGAAATCCTTTGCTGCAACGTCTTGAAAGCATTTTTGTGAATATAAAGCTGGTCGACTGTCACGGGGCGCATGCCCAATTACCTTAAACTTCCCCCGGTTAGGATATCTCTTGCCTTCGAACTTTTCCTTCCACTACCATCAACAAAGGTTGTTTCATTTCTTGAAGGAGACTTATAGGCAGTCTAGGCAGCAAATGTAGGTTGACTCTCCCGAGTATCCTCGACCGTGATGCCATTCGTGTTATGTATGTTCTCGAGGGAGCTTCAGATGGTAGACTAGATAGCTGACGGTTTCAAAAAGCAGATTCTCATCAATCTCAAAGATTTGGAGTGGCTCCTTGAAATATTAACAGGTATTGAAGGATGAATCAATTGCCTAGGAATCTCCACTATTTCACAAACTAATTTGTCCACAACCTCTAAATTGACCCGGGGTCGTATTCGCATCCGGACCTCATTTTTTTTCGGTAATGATATGAGCGCCCAGGTAGTACACAATCGGTCTCCGCACTTCACAGAGAACCAACAATGAAACAGAATGCCAAATAATTGAGGACAGAGATTGGCTATAGCATCTGAGGATCACAGTATAATTTCTGAATCAGTTAAATGTAGCTACTTTGAAATCGAATCCAGGCGGTTTGCTTGTTGTTCGTCCACAATAGATTTAGCTGGTGATCCTTACGAGCGGCCTTTTGTTAGCAAGAATCTCGAAAATAACAGAAACAGAGCATACTGATGTTGGACTTGCTTGAATCAAGCTTCAGTCTCTAATTTTTCTTTTCTAATGCCATTTGGTGTGGATTTAGGAAAGGCTCGTCAGGGAATGCGTTTAATCCCTATATAAACAATGCATCACCATGCAAGCTCTGATCCTTATTGCGTAATGGCATGATTAACAGACATCATAATAAGAGGGGATTCCCCCTTTTAAGGATATAATAATAAAGCGAAGATGATGTTGGAGAAGAGGATCCCTCCCAGGAAAGCCCCTTGCAAGCGTCATTCTATGCATGTCCTGCATATGGGTATCATAGTGATGCCCGAAGAAAGGTTACCACTGTCCCCCAGGTGGTAATTGAGGATGTGCAGTATGGCGGGTAAGAGTTCAAACTTTCCGCATGCATTAGGCGAGTTCTATAGGTATTTTGATATGTATTGGATATTAGATTGTCGCTCCCTCCAGGATTCGGATATCTATCTTATTTCGCTTGAGAAAGGTCCGCGTATTTCCAGCCCGCAAAAGGGGCTGGAAAAAGCGCCACACCTAGGAGAACTATTATGGAGTGCGGTTATGGTGATGGGCCGGTAAAATCATAACGGTTAGAAGGGTCAAGGCGGATGCGTATGTTGGAAAATAGGTGTCCACGCCGACCTGTGTGCTTCCGCCCCAGCAGTCGCTCATCTCCTAGATTTGTTCAAACTCGGCTTAGCCCCTAGCATCAAATGACCATAGTTTCTGCCCTTATTGAATTCTAGGATTGCATCAAATTCATGGTTGATTTCAGCAAGAAGCATTTTCTGGCTAGTTGAACAAGGATTTGATGAATCCTTTGATCGAGTTCTTTATGTTGTTAGCAGAAGAATATCTTCCAAGGTCGTCTCAGCCAACTATTTGATAATTCCAAGGTAAGCGATTTTGATGTAGGAACTTTATCTTGTGTTTCCTTCTAACCACGCCGAATTCTAGCACAAGGAATGTTTCTTCACAACTGGGGTATCCTCTCAGGGATCACACGGCACTCTGTATATAGCCCTGTCACCCCTCTCTCAGTTTGACAAACATGATGCAAACAGGGGTCACTCAAACCTTCCGCGACTGCGCAGTGATCCCTGATTCGGCGGACAGTTCATGGTTGGTTAGAACAGACCACCGCAGAGACTTGTCAGAGAGACATTTGCCAACACATTTCTATTTCGAGGTTGCGGATTACATCTGGGTTATCACGAGTGGGAAATGTAGGTGTTTGTTGTCATTGTGGACGCCCTCGCTGCAGGCTGGGGATTTCGGATCGACTGACTCGAGGTAGCGTTCGTAAATTCCTTGCGATATATTCCGCTATTTCTCTCATATGTTCTGCTACGTTCGCAATCTTCTTGCTTATATTTTCCTGAGCGGCCTCAATTAGTTGGAGGACTGCAAGAATATCGGGGGAGGGGGATGGAGGTGGCGCGACAACGCGAGCAGTAGCGGGGACAGGGGCATCAGCAGCTTTTCCCTTAGGGAGCCTCCCTGCGGCCGCCCAGGCCCGCCGGCGCCGCGAGGGATTGGGGAAGTCTCCATCCACTTTGTTCCGTTCGAATAAATAATAGGTATTAATTTCTTTTACAAGACGACGCCGCATCGACTCGAGTTCTTTATGTTTTCCGGGACCCTGCAGATTTAGGAAGAATAAAATCTGTGTGGTTGCTAGTCCGGCAGAACCCCTGGAAATCAATACCATCTCGCATACTCTTAGGAGGAGCACCGGCTGGACCACAAGGAGCGTGTTTAGGTTTTCAATGGCTGGTCCACTTTGGTCTCCTGTTTGTTCGGTTGCGTTGCTCTGTAAGATACTGACTGCCCCAACAGGCTATCAATCGCACTTTAATTTGGATAAAGAACTGGAAGGGGGCATTTCATCTTCGAGGACGAGTAGCTGTGTAAGGCGTGTGAGCAACCGGGCGCATAATTTTCCCATAGGGAGGCTGTCAAACTTCGATTGGACGATATTGTTGGAAATGAACAAAATTATAAACCAGTGCAATCCAGGACAAGCAGATATCAAATTTCAGCAAATGATAAAAGGGCGGTCGATGAAGCTCCAGACGACACGCTTGTGATCAACAATGTCAAGTAGACCGGCTCCCGCCGCACATTGAGCTTAAAACTTGCGGTTTGACGGCCTCTAGAGAGTTTCAATAACTCATAACTTGAACCCAAGGAGTGAGGCCGTCAGAGCCTGTGGCATTCGAACCTGCTAGCTCCTCGGAAAATGTTGGAATATATCGATTCCTTAATATATATTGTCGTATATATGCAAGCGCGATAGGCCAGGTAACTGCTAAACACTTAAATATTGAAACACGTTAGCAATTTTATTCCACAATTCCAGACGATTTCCTATTCGATTTTTGGGAGAATTAAGAAAAATCTTGAGAAAGTACCTCAGTTGACCAATGGCCGCATCTCACCAAGCATTCTGATCGCAAAGCCCGGCATGATTCATGTGCGTAATCAAATATTCTCCCGCATGCTACTGTCTCCTGAGAGTGGTAACTAGGGCATAAAAACGTTTCGATAAAAGTACACGTTCAGGATATTCAACCACAAAGTATCCACTGCGTTTGCAAGGGAGGTCTTGGTGATATCTCTCAGGAAAGGGACAGCAGCTTTGGCTTCCCCGTATTTAGATATAAATTTCAGCGGATTCCCACAGGGAGAAATCATATCATGGAACAACCCCGTCAATTTTATGGTCTTAAATTGCCCATATCTGATTTGAAGGCGGCAATTTAGTGTACCTGGATGGGATAGTCTTTGCATTTTGTCATCTCTGATGCGGCATCCCAGGGGGACGAACCTAAAGGACTTTCTCTCACGTCGACAGAACTC